TATGTTGTTATTTGATAATAAACACACTAAAGCTGATCATGTTAACATTATGTTGTTATTTGATAATAAACACACTAAAGCTGATCATGTTAACATTATGTTGTTATTTGATAATAAACACACTAAATCTGATCATGTTGAAACATTATGTTGTTATTTGATAATAAACACACTAAAGCTGATCATGTTAATGTTATGTTGTTATTTGGTAATAAACACTAAATCTGGTCATATAAAAATGTTATGTTGTTAGTTGGTAATAAACACTAAATCTGATCATGTAAAAATGTTATGTTGTTATTTGGTAATAAACACACTGAATCTGATCATGTAAAACATTATGTTGTTAGTTGGTAATAAACACACTAAATCTGATCATGTAGAAACATTATGTTGTTAGTTGGTAATAAACACTAAATCTGATGATGTAGAAATGTTATGTTGTTATTTGGTAATAAACACTAAATCTGGTCATATAAAAATGTTATGTTGTTATTTGGTAATAAACACACTGAATCTGGTCATGTAGAAATGTTATGTTGTTACTTTTAGTTTAGTCAACACTTTAAATTTGAACACTAGGGGTATGGAGCAATAATAAAAAGTTGTAATTAGTTATAAAGAAATAATTGTAAAAATGTATATTTGTAAGTTTCTGTATATTTAAGTATTGGTTTCAGTTAACTTATCTGGTAATATTTTTAAAAGTTTTATCTCTAGATATCTGATGACATTCTTTATTTTCAGGCCCAGAGTCTTAACTCAGCCAAGGTGCCATATAGTGATGATCAAGAGTCCAGAAAGTCCAGTAAAAACAGCATGTCTAACACAGGAGGAATTCTTGGTAAGTACTGAAACTGTTGTTTTTATTGGTTGGACGGAAGTGTCATTGATTATTAACATTACATTTTAACAAGTTCTTTGAAATTCTGGGGTACTTTTACAGGTACATTTGTTTTTATTATTTTATAACTTTAAATAGTGTGTGAAGAGAGAAGAAATATATGGAGTTTCTTCTGTATGTAAAATATATGAAAGTTATATTAAGTTACTACCATTCCTGCCTTTTTAATGGATGTTATTAGATATCATAAAATTTTACAAGATGTGTGTTTGTCTAAAACAGTTAATTCATGACAGTCAGTGTGTTATTGTGGGCCTAAAACCTTGTCAACCACACTGTATCTTATGTATTCGGTGCCAGTAACAGGACTCTTCAGGCTTGAACAACAACTTGTACAATGCAAACTAGATTAAACTATGGGATGTATTTTAGGAAGAATGATGTACCACTGAGTAATGTTTTTTTATCATACATGAATTGGATGTTTGTTTCTTAGGGGCTGCAGAATTAGCAAGGATGTTTCCTACTCCTCCGTCCCAAGAGCATCTAGCTACTCCATCTCCTTCTGGACCTGTTGGAGGTGGTGACATCACC